TTACATCTGCGATCAGGGGCGGTTCTAGGGTGAGTGGATATCCGGGGCTTAGCCAAGAAAATCCATGTATGTGTCACGATACAAGGAATAAACTTTAAATAAAAAACTTATATTTGTTTTTTTTATTGTTTTTTTTTTAACAAGTTGGATCTTTCTTGCTAATTAAAAATTAAAATCACAATGTCACACATCCTCTTCTTTCCTTGCTGGACTCATCTCAGACATGGTAAAATAGCAAGCTCAGCTCTATTATTGTTTTAATAAATAGCATTCACTTAACAACATGATTTTTGTGAGAATATATAAAAAAGGTGACTAAAGAATCTCTATAATAAAAAAAAATCTTAACCCATTTTCCAAGCACACATTACATTTTATAGGCTACCTTATTTTTACTTTATACATAATACATACAGAAACGCTAAAGCCAAGTAGGCCTATAATTAAAACACATGGGTCTACACTTATATTTTTGAAGGAGCACTTGTAGATGCATTTTACACAGCACTTAGAATTTGCATAAATATATCGTGTGAGACTGATGTATCAAATATCAAATTGGAATACAGAAATATGAAACATTGAAAAAATGAAAATGGTACTTTGCCACTAGATCGCGGCAAGCCACTGCCTTAAAGAAATAGTCGGTTTATTCAATCGATTCGTTCAAATCAGATGATTCATTTAGAAAAAAAGTAAGAAATGATTTTGTATGGCGGTCAGTGAATCGTTTACAAGCAAATTCAATTAATAAACACTGTGATGCTTTGTTTTGAAACCATTTTCGTTAGCGAAATATTTTCTTTACGTTTGGCCATTTTCATCTAAAGAATGAAATCTAATACTACGATTAGAAGTTACAGATACCTACTGAAGCTGTTGTATCTTGTTTTAGTGATGGCTGGGGGTGTTTTAGTTCCTTTTTTTTTTTTTTTTGGAAAAACTTTGATACCATCCATTTTACTCATTCATTACTAAATTACACATCAACAAACACCTGGCTCCAAAATATTTAATTTCATTGGCTGGATAGTACAGACGCGTTGCTTCTCATCGATGGTTGGCCAGTTTACATGTCAGTCAGAAGCGCTAGCCTGAGTGGGCGGTTCTTGTCGGTTGTGAATGACAATGCGTATGTTGACGGACGCGATGATGCGAGAGTCGAGAAATATACATTTCATTAATTAAATTCTCTCAGTGATGGTGTGTACAATGCATGGAAATAAAAACATTCGGGGCTTTACTGAAAACAGCCCCCTTAGCCCACCCCTATGCTGCGATATTCTTTAAAATGGAGTTTTTTCGCCCTCCTGTGGTGAACTGTGTGAATTACACTGCTGTCATTTTACACATAAACATTTAAAGATTTGAGTCAGCGAAATAGATAAATCGACTCTGCAAGAATTCTGGTGTGTGTTCAAGTGAAATGAAAAAAGTTCAAATGAATATTATTCTCTCCACGAGCCAAAGGTAACGTTAAATTAGAGTATAATTTAATATTGAACCAAACACGTATGACGAGTCACGCAGGTCCTGTGCTCCTCCGCAGCGGTAAGACCAGAGCCAGTATAAAATAGTCCGAATATAAACACTTATTATAGGTGTACCACAGTGATTCAGGATAAGACAAAGCACGATTTGGACAACTGATGCATGTACTCGCTCACTATATAACATTTGAACATTTTGAACACAAAAAGTTAAGCACTAAAACTTTATAGCAAGACAACTTAGCCAGTTAGACAACTTATATATATATATATATTATTTGAACAAGGTGAATATTTCTTGCTAATTAAAATTAAAAATCACAATGTCACACATCCTCTTCTTTCCTTATTGCTGACTCATCTCAGACATGCAAGCTCAGCTCTATTATTGTTTTAATAAATAGCATGTAAATAGTAAAATGTATTAATTACACCACTGAAACATTATTTTTTCTACAGCAGTAATAGTGAGGAAAGCTAGTTAAGCAGAGGAAAGCAGAGAAAACGCGTGTCCTCTATCACTTTTTAACGGACACCCTGCAGCCAATCAGAATCGAGTATTCACCCAGACCATGGTATAAGTCTTTGTTAAAGACTGTTGACAAACTTCTTAAACCAACTAGCAAGGATATTATATTGTTCACTCCTCTGCTGACCATCTGACTGGTCAGATTGATGGCATATACAGCTCTTTAACCACGATCACTCCACTCGAGCTAGTTGATATTCAGCCTTTAAATCCTCTGACCACTACGTTTTCATACTTTGAATTGGTCAGTGTTGGCTTTATTGTTAGTACAGGTAAGTCCATGAATTCAACTACTAGTACTTTAGATCCGGTTCCCTGCTCAGGTATTAAGAACTGCCTTGTACCAGTCAGCTCTCATAGAATTCAGGAGTTCTGGAATTGTTTCTCCAGAATTAAAAATAGCTGCCATTACACCAGTCCCTAAGAAGAAAGTAGTTCTGGTGAAACTGCCTGTTTACCATTCGAAATTAATAAATAAATGCGCTGCCCACAACAGCTGTGAGTAACCATAGCAACAGGCAGTCAAAGTATCCGTTAACAATTTGCTCTATCAAAACAAACATCTAACGTTACCCAGATAGCAAACTGACATTAAATCAACGTGGAAAATATGACATCGAAACAACGTTGATTGACATTGTTTTGCTCATCGAATTAACGTTGAACCAACGTCAGACGCGTCATTCTTTCAAAACTAACGGAAAATCAACTTGAAATCAACACGTTGTTTCAACGTTATGAAAGCAAACCAATTTTCGATTTTCATTTAGCTTTGAAGAATGCCGCGTCTGACGTTGGTTCAACGTTAATTCGATGAGCAAAATCAACGTTGTTTCAATGTCATGAGAGACGTCGTTTCCACATTGATTCAATGTCAGTTTGCTGTCTGCTGGGTAGTTAGATATTACATAGCCTACTAATACAACAATGAGCGACTTCGTTATTTATTTTAACTTTTATGGAGAATATGACAACTTTGACGACTGGGATGCTGCTGAAGAAAGAAAAAATGCAAATAAAACGGAGGAACGTCACAAAGAAAATTACACCGCTGCTGCTCTGAATGAGACCCTGCGGGAGTTTTAGTTTTTTAAGGCAGGAGGAGAGTACAGCGTTTCAAGCCTAAAAAGCCTGTTTAATTAATTGTTTTATGTGTAATAAAAAAAAATAAATAACTATGCCTACCTTTGTGTTTCATGAAAAAAAATGCATTTTTGAACCTGAAGGGTTCTACAAGCTGAGCGGACTATCTCTGGTTGCTAAATAAACCAGGCGAGTTATTGTAAAAAAAAAAATTTAGCCTAATTAAAATATAAACTAGCAGCTAATGTTTTAAAAATGTTTTATTTGGCAAGTAACCATGGTATTTAGCGGGTTAATGCCCTTCGAGGTGTCCATTAGGTTTTAATGGACTTCGGCGGAGGCAACCGTCCTCCGCTGCGCGTCGGCCGGTTCACGCCTCGCCGTCGTCCATTAAAACATGGACACCTCGTCGGGCATTAACCCTTACATGGAATTTGTTGCAGCATTTCCAACAATGCTTGAATAATAGTTCGTATGTGCACAGTATTCATAGCAGAATGGTAAACAGACGGTTGTTGAGTGTAATGATACGTTCCAACAGGGGTCGCCAAGGCAAAACATTCATTTCAAAAGTAATAAATCTATGGTCACTTATTCTCAAGTCAATACTATCCAGAGATTGAATACCAACTCCAGCAGAACAAACCACATCCAATATATAGCCCAACCTATCAAAACGAGACAGTAACACGAGTTGGGAGGTGGAGGAGGCTAAAGACCACAGCCTCTAGCATCAGTCGCTAGTTGAGAGAAATATTTACTCTTTTTGGTAAAAACTTCCAAGACATCATTGTTTTGGCAGTGTTTAGGCCCAAAATTCTCATCTTTGATGACATTTTGACTGGTTAGGAAGTATAATGTATAACTTTTCCAAAAAGTATTGTCCGGACTGGAAGGAAATGTTGTGACGGACCTCTTGGAACTTTCATTGAAACCCCTGTTCTATGACATCATTGCATAAACACCCTTTTGGAGTCCACGAGGTGACATTTGTAATACACATATGGGTGTGTGTGTATATAATAAACACAGTGTGCGAGTGGCATTGATGACACCACAAACAAGCAGCGTCCTCGCCCTCAGACCAGTCAAAGCTCAGTACACCGTTTGTCTTTCAGAAGACAATCTATATTATCTTCTCTAGCTGCATCAGGCAATCCCAGCATGCACTACAGAACGGTGCTGATGTACACTGAAATAGGCTGCTTCGTAGCATGCGTCTGCGGCTGGATCCTGATCTGCTCCACTATCCCCACGGAGTACTGGACTTACTCTGAGGTGGCCAGTTTAGTCCTCACATCTTCCCACTATTTCTCCAACCTCTGGAAAGACTGTCTCTCCGACTCCACAGGTGTGTCCGACTGCAAGGAGTTCCCCTCGCTGCTGGCTCTGCAGAGTAAGTGTTATTTTTCCATTCGGTCAGTAATGTCTCGGCTGGCTGTGCTCTGTTAGTGAGTAGGGACTGAACTGACACTGGCGTTAGAGGGACGTGCTGTTGCATTATATGTGGCTATTATGATAGAAAAATAATAAACCGTTGTTTTGGCTACAGGAAATAAGATAAAGTTGTTGAATTTTATCCTTTTTATATACATGCAGTCAAACCAAAAATGATTCAGACACCACATGTTAGTGGTATTAGTGGTTCAGGACACTATAGTTCATTTCTGTAAGTGAGGAGAGCAAAAGTAAACAGTGACCCAAATATTCTTCACACAGTGACTACAGTAACAACATGCTGAAGTGTGTTTTCTGTAGTGCTAATGCTCTTTTTATACACACACTGAACAACATGAAGCATTGCTTGGTCACTGGTTGAGCTAAACTGGTGTTATCTAATTGTGTTCAATTTATAAGCGGACAGATATTCAACATAATTCATGTGTGAGAGTCCAACAGAAGGACGGACGAAACCAGTCAAATATCCACTGATCTGAGAACTGAGATCTGCTCATATTTAATTACCATTGTCTAAACTATAGCGTTGTGAGAAATGTTGAAGCTGTCTGAATAAATTCTGGTTTGACTTTATAATACTTGGTTTTATCCGTGGGGAATTGATTGGATGATTGTGGTTTTCTATTGGCTAAATCGTTTAGAATGGGTTTGCAAAACTGCATTGTGAAAAACACTAAATAAACAAACAAATGGGACTATATTGTTGCGTTCATCCTTCAACAGCACACATTCACCTGTGCCGATCTCTCGTCATCACATCCATAGCTCTGGGATTCTTCGGATCCGCTCTGGCTTTGGTGGGGATGAAGTGCACAAAACTCGGAGGCTCTGAAACGGTGAATGCAAGAATAACCTTCGCTGCAGGGATCACCTACTTGCTGTCAGGTAAAGCCAGCGCTTGTCCAGCCGCTCCAGCGTGTTCCCGCTCCTCTGAACTCTTGTGTCTCTGCTTCAGGTCTCTGCGGCATGTTGGCTTACAGCTGGTACGGCCACAAGGTGATTTCAGAGTTCATGGATCCCAACTACAAGGCCAAAAAGTGAATATTTCAGTACAGAAATGAAATGTGCAGTTGATGCGGATCCGGGTTGTAACAGTGTTTCTTGTGGCGACAGGTTTGAGCTGGGAGTGGCGCTGTATGTGGGATGGGGCGGATCGGTGCTCCTGCTGGCCGGAGGACTCGTGTACAGCATCACCGCAGGGAACCAGGCCTGCCAGTCCAGGTATCTCAATCTAACCTGTGCCTCTGAGTGAATCGCAGGAAGACAAGAGTGATACTGTGCATTGAGAAAAGGAAGCCTATTTTACAACCAAGTGCCCCTTCAACACAACATGGAGCTGCACTTTATTGCAAAGTGCAGTATCGGAAGGTCGGGACAGCTGGTTTAAAAAAAATTGCCGCATCGCGACATCACGACCCCACCTGATGCATAAAAGGGAAAAAAATATTGAGGCGGCATTATTTATTTAAAGGGTTAGTTCACCCAAAAATGAAAATTAAGTCATTAATTACTCACCCCCCATGCTGTACCAACCCCGTAAGACCTTCGTTCATCTTCGTTCGTCGAGAGCTGTATAACTACCACATAGACTTCCGGGACTGGCTCTTGACGGCCCATAAAGTCAATGAAGAAAATGTTTAAATATCCCAAGTGACTACCGTGGCTCAACTATAAGTTTATCAAGCGACGCGAATACTTTTTGTGCGAAAAAACAAACAAAAATAACGACTTTATTCGACTATTCCTTTTCTTCCTTGTTGGCCTGAAACAAGACTTCAATACGATATCCACGACGCATGCGCGAGAACTGAACTGAAGTAGTTGAAGGAGATCGCAATTCTCGCGCATGCGTCGTGGAAATCCCTCGAACTCTCGTTTCAGGTGCGAGGTTTGGTTTAGGGTAGCTGCATGTAATCATGCATAATTTAATGTTATTACTAGAGTAAGTACATGTTACAAGTAGGGTTGGGTATCGTTTGAATTTGAACGATTCTGATTCCGATTCCGATTCCTTGTTTCGATTCCGGTTCCTAACGATTCTCGATTTCGATTCTTTTAAGAGGCAGGGTCAAAAAAGTTTAGCTAACCTTGCTAACCAACGGCCTTTCTGAAGGAAATACTCCTTCTGTCACAAATACTTGTCACAAATTTTGCATTTTGCTGAGATTTCGTAAAATTTTTAGAAAAGTGAAGCCACACTTTGGACCGTCGACGTAAGCTACTCATGTTCGACTCGGTTATGCCAACACTTCCGGTAGACGCTTCTTCGTTGGTGTTGTTCAGCAGTTTCTTCTTCCGCTCGGCGGACTGTGAATATCGAAACTAGGAATTGAAATTTTAACTTTTGAACGATTCCGGGAAAAACGAAAAGTTAGTCCCCGGTTCCAATCGATACTCGATTCTCGATACCCAACCCTAGTTACAAGGACACTAAAATTAAGTGTTACTCAACATCCACACGAAAAGCAACTAGGTATGTAATCAAGAAAGTGTGCTTGAGTAAAAATGTAAGTTTTCATAAATTGAGAGACTGGGATTCTGTTTTATTTCCGAAGTGCTTCCCCTGCTTTATTTCAATGGTCCACTTTAGACATTCTCCTGACTGTAAGTAACTTTACAACTACACGTTGCCTTATTCTACTAACCCGAACCGTACTAATACTCAAATGAGAGTTAATTGACATGTAGGTGCAATGTTACTTGTCTGAGGTGAACCACTGACAAACCGTTTTTATGATTTTTCTAAAAAGATGTCCTGCTACTGAACATAATCATGATTCAATGTTTGTGCCTTCAGCTCTAAGACCCAAGAGAAGTCATATCAGAGTCGTTCCTCTGAGCCGACGCTATACACTCATCCGCCATCGCCCATCCCGGACAGAGTCAAGCCCAAGCCCAAGCCCAAGCCGAAGCCCGAGGCCGAGCCCAGCAGGCCTGCTAAAGGGTTTCACAGTGTGGACGCCTATGTCTGATATTCTCCTGTTTTACCATGCATTTATCTGGAAAACCTCTTTATTAGTAGTGTAAAGCATTCAGTGAATCTTTATGCAAGTCTTCGAGACACAAAGTTAATTGTTTTACAGTAATACATTGGAGTGACTTAACTCTATCCTGATGACTGTGTCACAGTGATGCTCTTTAAATCTCCATTATCTCAGATTTTAGTCGTTTCGTCTCTTTGTTCCTGTTTTAACTGGATTATTCACAGCGGCCTCATGTTAGTCCGTCAGCGTGTGCAGGGTTTATCACTGATGAAGCGATGGCATGAAGCAACAAAAACACTTTTCATTCAGACCTTTATGTACTGGGTAATACAGAGCCAATTTTCTCTAATAATTCATAAAGTAATGAAACTTGTTTATAAACAAATGATTAATGAAAACATTTTTCTGCCCAAAAATTATTACATTGTTTAAATGAATACTTTTCTAGCTACCTGTGATTTAGTATATGAAGAGTTCAGATGCAAAAGCCTCTAAGTGCCCATTTGAAATTTTCTTCTAAAATGATCATTTTTATCAAGCTTGTATATTTAAGTTCAGTGATTTCACTTAAATGGCAATGATAATTACCTATTAATTGTTATTTAAGTGAAATTACTGAACTTAAATATACAAGTTTGATAAAAAATCATCATTAAAGAAGAAAACTTCAAATGGCATTTAGAGGCTTTTGCATCTGAACTCTTCATATGTACATTTCTGAAATACATAACTGATATCAGATCACTCAAATTGTAATGTGGACTCATGCATTTTCTGTAAAGCTGCATTGAAACATGTATTATGAAAAGCGCTTTACAAATAAATGTGAATTAAATATATATTCATCAAACCATTCATACATCTTCCGCTTATCCGGGGGCAGCAGTCTAAGCAGAGATTCCCAGAGTTCCCTCTCCCTAGACACTTCCTATCCACTTCACTTCCGATACCCATCCGTTACCAACGCAGTTTAAAAAAAAAATCAAGTAGAATTTCTATAACTGTTTGTTGAACTGTTAATCACTCTTTTGTGCGTTCAACACAATCTACTTAATTCAGACAACTTCCTTATAAAGAAAAAAAAAAAAGATCATAACCTATGACAAAAATTATATTATAAACTAGATTAGTGGGTAACTAATTAATTTTAAATTTAATAATTTTATAAAATCAGAACATTTAGTGGAAAACAAATTAGTAGTAAACAAATAGACAAAAGCACTAAATCTGGTAAAACATTACACATTGTATTGCTCTTTGTATTGTTGTAAAATACATTCATAAAAATATCAATTGTTTTATAGTCTACTTTAAAATTAACAATATGCTGAACGCTAACAATTGAATGCTGAATGGAGAATTACTGACAGCTGCAGCGGAGGGAAAAGTTTACATGACTTTGAATTTAATGACTTAAATATTAATTTCTATCTCACATTATATATAATAAAATATATAGTTCAACACAATCCTACACTACTTAAAAACTAATAAAGTGGGTCTATATATTTTTATCAGTTGTATTTTGATAAACACAACACAATATAACATTGTTACATGAAAAGAGATTTTACTGTTATAAAAAGAAATTTGTGAGCATCACCTGAGCTGTATTAGAATAAACGGGAAACAGACGTGATCTTCATCATCAGTGAATCAGGCCAATCATCTGCTCCGCTCCGATCTGTTTGATGAAAAAAAGCCGTTTCAACGAAGACTGGATATATTGCAAGTTTAGAAGGTTATTTCGTTTTTGAAGGTTTACTTTTTAAAACTCCTCCCCACACCAAATTTATGCCTATGATCACATGTATTTGTATGTTGTCGGTCTAGTGTTTCTCGTGTAACTTGGCTTCCGATGTATACTTTTAATACAAACGGTGGAATCCAAGAAGAAGTTCATGAATCAAGGTCAAGAATTCAAGGAAACACGTCAGAGACTACATGAGGCAACAGAACAGTCATGTCTTGATTTATTATAATTTCAAAAAGAGAACATTTCAGAGGATCTCTTTCAGACTGCATTACACTTCTCTTCTTATCTTATCAGTTTTTTTATAATCAAATCGCTGAGGCTGATTTCTTCCTGAGGTTCCAGTCATTACATTAATCATCACGGGCTGTAGAATCATGTGGACCATGTGACGTGGACGGGGCTGAAGTCCCAGCGGTCCGGATGACCCACGTGCGGGAGGTCTCTGTATGGCGAGCGGCTCCACTGGAACACAGGCGTCTGATCCCATGTGGGACCGCTGACCGCTAACAGCTCGAGCCGCTGGAACAGGCCAAAGCTCGTCATCTGCAGGAGGACAGGGGCGTTACAACACTCAACATCTGCAGGAGTACAGGGCAGCCCTAAAAAAATATCCCATAAGGTGTGCATAAACTATGATGGAAAATATTATATTATATTATAAGTGACTTTGGCTCAGCGTCAGCTGTGATTGGATAACTGAAGTAACCAGCGGACCAATGGCATCGCAGCATCTCTGATGTTGGTTTGGTGTTTCTAAAACGCCGGAGTAGAAGTGTGTGATCAGAATGATTGGGTTTAATTCCCTCAGAAGTGTCTCACACTTTCCGAACACCAGCATCCGAAAGCCAGAGAACACGACAGCGTTTACTGTTTCGTCTGACGCTCTGAAACACACTCATTATTCACTATGATGGAGGGAAAAAGAACCACATTGCAGAAACTTAGTTTATTACTGATATTTTGCACCTGGAAGTGACGATTTGGTTTGTAATTTATCAGATAGGATGGAAACTGAACTTTATATGTGAATGTTATAAACTCTGGAAGTAAACAGTGATGGTCACTGACCTTCATGTCGGTCCCGCCGTGTGGCCGCTGCTGCAGAGCCCCGAACGGGTATGAGCCGTTGGCAGGGTTCAGGTCAGATCGGGCAGAGATTGAGTTCTCCCCGTTCTGGACCGGGTCACAGGCGTCGCAGCGGGACAACGGGTCTTCCTGAAAGTTATTATACCTACAGAACACACACACACACAGGCCAGATGAAGCCGGAAGCAATGGGACAACTCAACACACAGATGAGACCTCAGTGGTGTACCCGCCCAGAACTTGGTTACTGTGGTTTTTAAGTGTCATGCCACTTCTGTGTCGCATCCCTCCTCTAGTATATAGCCAGCAGTGTTGCCAGAACTTGACCTCTGTATGATAAATAATATTTTTTTTTAAATCCCATAATGTACGATAATTTCAGAATTGTGTGACACTTCAGATGATGATGGTTGTAATTATAGGGCTTCTATATATTGTGTCTTACATATACACTTTAAAAAGTATATTTCCTTTTGTGCCATGTGTCTGCTATGAAGTTTATGAGTTTAGCACTAGGGTTGATCTAATCTGGTTGGTGAGTCCCTCACTTAAATGTATCGTGTAGAGTGGCTACTGAAAGTGCTTCTGGAGACGACTACAGCAGACCGTACCTCATCAGACGCACCATGGACTCGATGTCGGTCACCAGAGTCTGGTTCCTGCGGAAGATCTGTGCTCTGGGGCTCTGGCTGAAGGAGAACCAGGACCCGTACTTCTGGACCAGCTCCGGCCCTCCGCTGGCGTTGAACACCGCCTCGAAGTACCTGAAACATCAGCAGATCCTGAAACATTAGCGGATCCTGAAACGTTAATGGATCCTGAAACTTCAGCGGATCATGAAATATTAGCGGATCCTGAAACATTAGCGGATCCTGAAACGTTAGCGGATCATGAAACGTTAGCAGATCATGAAACAATCAGCAGATCCTGAAATGTTAGCGGATCCTGAAACGTTAGCAGATCCTGAAACGTTAGAAGATCCTGAAACATTAGCGGATCCTGAAACGTTAGCAGATCCTGAAACTTAGCGGATCATGAAACATCAGCAGATCCTGAAATGTTAATGGATCCTGAAACGTTAGCAGATCCTGAAACGTTAGAGGATCCTGAAACATCAGTGGATCCTGAAATGTTAGCAGATCTTGAAACGTTAGCGGATCCTGAAACATTAGCGGATCCTGAAACATCAGCAGATCCTGAAATGTTAGCGGATCCTAAAAACGTCAGCGGATCATGAAACATTAGCGGATCCTGAAATGTTAGCGGATCCTGAAACGTTAGCAGATCCTAATACGTTAGAGGATCCTGAAACATCAGTGGATCCTGAAATGTTAGCAGATCTTGAAATGTTAGCGGATCCTGAAATTAGCGGATCCTGAAACATCAGTGGATCCTGAAATGTTAGCAGATCTTGAAACGTTAGCGATCCTGAAACATTAGCGGATCCTGAAACATCAGTGGATCCGAAACGTTAGCGGATCCCGAAACGTCAGCGGATCATGAAACATTAGCGGATCCTGAAATGTTAGCAGATCTTGAAACATTAGCGGATCCTGAAACATCAGTGGATCCCGAAACGTTAGCGGATCCTGAAACGTCAGCGGATCATGAAACCTTAGCGGATCCTGAAACGTTAGCAGATCCTGAAACGTTAGAGGATCCTGAAACATCAGTGGATCCTGAAATGTTAGCAGATCTTGAAACGTTAGCGGATCCTGAAACATTAGCGGATCCTGAAACATCAGCGGATCCTGAAATGTTAGCGGATCCTGAAACGTTAGCAGACCCTGAAACATTCAAAAAACACCTGAGGACATCTTTGTGGACAAGCTTTTAAAGGTGCAGTGTGTAATATTTAAGAGGATCTGTTGACAGAAATGCAATATCATAAACATAACTGTGTTTTCAGTTGTGTATAAAGATCTTGCATAATTAAGCATTTTGCGTTTATTAGCTTAGCATGAACATTTCTCTCTACACACACCGCGGGTCCGATTACACGACATGTTTCTACGGTGGCCCTGAACAGACAAACGCTTTCCGTCACTATGTTGTTGTTGAGACGCGAAACTAAAGTCAGCAAATAAAACACTGACACAATGATGAACAAGTAACAATAATATTCACAATAACATAATTTGAATGAATAATTAAGTAAACAATTTCTTAATTTATCTTTGTAAAGAAACCTCATTGGCTCCTCTGTGCTGTCTCAGTCGACGACATCACTTCCTGTTGGCCACCATAACTTCTGTCGGGTGCAATTCACAATCTCACCACTAAATGTGCTAAAACTTACACACTGCACCTGAAATTAACAATACAATGTGAACTGACTGCATAGAATATGAAAAATATGAATATCAGCCACATATATTCAAAACCAGCCATGATACCAGCACAAAAACACTCAGCTAACTATAATCTAAATAATTAT